CCCTACTAGCGAGGGAAATTTGTTGGGATTTCCGGCTAGAGTGCAAAGGCAGCGCGAGAGCACATAAACGAGCGAAACAACAACATCAACCGATACGGGGCGGGCCAGTTGCTCTTACGGGACCTTCTTGTGCAACCTCGCACCTTAATACCTCTATTTTACTACTTTCTGACGCAAAATTGATACGCGACTGTCCAACGTGGTCTACACTACGTTTTTCCACAATAGGATTCAAATCCTATGAGCTGTCGCGAAACTGCACGCGCCAGACCCAGCTTCGCTGGCACGCCCCACTATCCGGAGCGAACAAGACTGGAGCGCGACCATATATCATTTCTAATTTTCTGTCCATCGAAACTCCCATTCATGCCACCGATTACATGGGTAATCCGGCAGACACTCGCTTTATAGCTATTACATTTCGAGTCTTTTATTTATCAGGCAACCAATAAAGTTCGTGCGGTTTTTTAATTGTCTACTTTTATGAAGTATATTCAGTAAACTGGATCTAGTGGTAGGGTAACTTTGAATACATGTTAAGACATATGTCAAGGAGTGTCATTCAGCGCCAGAACTGCCTCATTTCTCACACAGCAAAATACGAAAAGTATCCGTTCCCCCAGAAATGTGATGGCTATACTCAAAGCAGTGAATTCACGAATACTGAGTCTTGAAATCCCAGTGGTAAATGTTTTCCAAGCAGTTTTTTTTCTGCCGCTTACCAGTGTATTTGTTAATTTAGATTACTTTCAATTAAGGCGAACAGAAAAAAGTTGTGGTTTTCCACCAGGACAATGCAAGACCACACACTGCAAGAATCACTCAGGAAACAATAGCGCGACTAGGATGGGAAATTCTACCTCACCTTCCGTACTCGCCAGACCTTGCTCCAAGTGACTATCATTTGCTTTTGGCCTTGGACAACCACATGAGGAATCGGCGATTTGAAAATGAAGTGGCTTTGGACAACGAACTAAAACATTTCTTTAATTCCCAAAAGCAAGATTTTTACAAAAATGGATTATATGCTCTTGTGTGCTCCTCAGATGGGACAAGGCATTACTCGCTGTGGGTAATTATTTCTCGGAAGACACACCTTTTAAGTTCAACGCGTATATTTATTATTTCGCTACCTTCAAACCGCAACGAATACTTTTTTGTTGCCTATTTAGTATCATATTCAATCCTTTCACTGTTAGACCCTCAGAAAAGCAATTTCCTGCATTAATCTCGCTCGCTAATAACATATGTTAAGCTGCGTAGATACACGGGAATACTTTGTTTCAAGAAGAGGTGTGGTAACCGGTTTCTTTCTCGTCCCTCCTCCAGATGAGCGACGACAAGTATAATTTCCGATTAGGTGCAAAAGAAGAGCAGCAGGAGATCTTGGATTATTTAGTGAAGTACTTCAAGAATGAAGAGCCACTGAACCGGGTAGATCTTTCCAGCAGTTTTCTTTCTCGATTGGGAATCAGGAAGCAGGAAGTCTTCTTCATTCAGGCAGCAGATGTCCAACGAGGAAGCGAATTCTCACGATTGCTCGGAGCCATTGTGGATGGTTGTCCATTCCATAAGAGCCATTTACCGACAGTAGTTCGATTCGCCAAAGTAAGAATAATAGTCACTTTTATTTTCGTACAGTTGTGTAACTCAGATTGCCCTTTGTGATTCTCGTAGACAGTTCCTTTCATTCAGCCTATTTTTGTGGCAGTGGGCCTACTTTATCCCTCGCGACTTGCTCTATCATTTTTGAAGCTAATACCGATATTTTCCTCAAAAGTCAATTTGAAAACATGCTTATACGCTTTAGGTCGAAGGAAGAGTTTGAACAAGTTGTTCTAGGATGGAATTCGAAATATTTTCGTACCTCATGGTTCCTAATGAGGCGGAAGTGGTGTAGATGACAAGTGGCGCGCTTACCACCCGCGCGGTCCTGGGTTCAAATCCCGGGTCGACTCCCGCCCAGGCCAACCAAGCCTTCTACCCCGGGACGGTGAATTGGTACCAGATTCGTCTGGGAGGATAAACACTGACTTGTACATCGGCTGGCCACGCAAGTCATTGTATAGGCCACATCGCATTCAATAAGCCACTACGATTCTGAATGGAAGTAGAATGCGTGCCGCATCCCACAAAGGGATTGATCAACGGCGAAGACTTTATCCTTTTTATGATTCCTAATTTCTATTGAGCCTTCTTGAAAGATTCAGACAGTGTGTAAGCTTTCGAACTCCTCCATGAGTCATGTGGTTTTTTTGCTCCGCCCCACTATTTCCGAGTAGTTTATGACCGATCACCTAAGAGTGGTGACGCTTTCCTCAACAACCTGGAACCAGTTGTGACCGCCGGTATGTTGGCTGTACTCTAAGGTGCACCCAAATGGCTGCGATTACGGAGCTCAGCATTCTCGTTCACCAGGAACAGTCCTTTCATGACTGCGTCATTCGTTTCACCGAGGTCACAACGAACCCCCTTCTTATCGATACGAATAGTCCCTTGCGGAAGAAGAAAATTTTTTGCAAGTCATAGAGCTGGTGAAGAGAGCTAAATGTTTTATGCGAACCGTGCACACAGCCTCCGTTGAGACGCATCACGATTCTAAACAAGTGGAGTCGTAAACCTAAGAGAAGCTCAACAGGAGACTGCCAGCAAAGCTCCACCTACTTAAGCTCCTAATGCACCCTTAGAGAAGGGAAGACGTGCTTGTCAGCGCCAACTCGAAAACAAAATCGAATATGGTGAGACAGTCACCCTAAGTGTCCCATATTCCCAACACACAAGGATCATACAGACTTTATTATAATCTACTTTCTCACTCGTGTTGCGGAGGAATCGGGCGTCATGTAACGGTGTCCGGTTGCCGGGCATGAGCCCGAGGAAGCATGGAGGGTCCGAGGTGTGGCGGAGTCGGATCAGGAGACGTTCACTCTGCAGGCCGCGTTACCAAAGATGATGCCATTCCATCGTACCATCTCCGCGCCGTCTCCGCCTCCTGTAATCAAGCAAGTTCATCGAAGCATCAACATGCTGCCCTGTAATTCTATTACTGACTAACCCTTACAATCGACAGCTTCTTCTCATTGTAATGCTTGCATTCTAGAAAGGGGGACTATGAAGCTGCCCAACGAGATTGTATCGTTACTATAGCAGTGAGTACGACG